GTGTTTCTGCTGGGCAATTAACAAGCAATAAAAGCCTGCAGCCTCTGCAGTTGGCAGCCTCTGCAGTCACCCAGTTACCAGGGTAAAGTCGGTAAGGGGACAGTGTGCAATTAACACAGGGATTTCGCAACGCCCTATTGAATAAATGTCCAACGCGGTCTGATTGATTCGGGGCTGTGCCCGCCGACGCGCACGTCTTACACCTGAACTTTTGCCAAACGAGATGCTGCCTTTTGAATGCCAAATGAGGTGGCGGGCCGACGACACCTGCCTTCAGTTGCAGTTTGAGTTTGTTTTTCATTTTTTTCGTTCACTTTTTTTATGAATGAAAAACTTGAGTCACTCGCTCGCCCGGAATCGACATGGCGTGGGTGGTCCGCCTTCGGCAAGAGGCCAAAATGCAAATGCACCAAAAGACCAAAAGCAGAGGCAGTGGGTAACAAAAACGGCACAAGAAAAAAAAACACCAGCAAAAGTGTTACACGACTTTACGAGCACATTCATTGACTGCAAATCAAAACGTGCGCCACGCCAACGCCAACCTCAACCATTATACACTTGAAAAAATATATGATTAAAAACATTAAGCATTAAAAATGTATTACTATGTTTTAAAATTAAATATACTCTTCATTGGGATCATAAATTATTGAAAAACTTGTTCGAAATACTTCCCAAAAAATATATTTAATTAACAAATTTCCTATGTGCATCTAACTCAAGTTCGACATCGACGGCAAGTTGAACGCCAACGCCGGCGGCAATTACCAGGTGACTGCTAACTGGCAAGGTTATGGCTCTCACAGAAACGCCGCGCAAATGCTTCGCATACCACGCACACACTCTTACTTGCACATTAGCGGAAAATACCTTTTGGCATTACGCATACGCACTGCATGCCAGCAGGCCAAAAGGTTGCTTTTATTACTTTTTGTTGTTGTTGCTTTTTTTTTATTTGGGCGCATTACTGAGAGCAGCAATTTTAAATTATTGAGTGTGAAGCATTTAACATTTCAGGGCGGACTTGCTCTCGTCTGTACAATGGTTGTAAATGGTCTGATGGCATAGCTTTTCTCATAATATATTGAAAAATATCACATTTAACATTTAAGTATCAATCTATTCTTGGTATATTCTGATAAAATATATTAAACAATTTATTGTAAACATATTCCAACATTAAAATATCGATTTTATTTGAATTTTTGCTTTAAATATCAATAAAATATTGCTGTAAATTAAAAAAAAATGGAATTTATTATTCGTATATTAGGAATACAACTAGTAATTTATATATTTATTTAAAATACATTTAAAAAACCTTAAAATAAATATAAATGTATTTAAAATCCCCTAGAATGCCCACCAATTTGTATCCACTGTCTAGGCAATGCCCTTCCACAACTGCTTGTTCAGCACACAGTTTAAAAATAATTGTTATGGGGCCGCGGCCAAACGCCTCCTGAGTCCACCTTCGACACGACTCCCGGCCTTCATCTCTGCTGCAGCAGAATTCCAGTTCGTGCTCCCGCTCCACCTCCTGATGACTCTGTGCAGCCATTTTCGGTGCTAAATGTCACACGCACATAAGCGAAATTATGTGAGGCATTTTTAACGACTGATATGCGCCGGGTGCGATATGGCAAACACACTGCACGGCAGAGAGCAGGCCGTCAGGCTCATAAAAAAATCCGTGGCGAAATTGAAACTGCCGCCCAAGTCGCCCATTTTACATGCAAACCCATACCAGCAACCATTTTGGCCCGCCGACTGTAAACGCGACAAACGCATGGCCGATGTACGTGAGATTGGGCCGCCGTTAATTGGTAAAAATTGGGCAAGCTCCGCCACCTCTCCGGGCCAAGTACTTATGCGATAATGCGTAAATTTTAATGAAAACTGAAAATACAAGGGAAAAACAAAGAGGAAAGCGTACTTTTCTCGGGTCGTAAAGTCGCACACGAAGACGGCGATGAACTATTTAGTCCTTCGTGCAATCGTCTGGAAGTTGATTTAATGAAGATTTCACAAAATGGGCATTCTCCCGTCACCAAGTCTGACATGTTAGACAAGTGTGTGTGGGTGTTTGCGTTGCTATATGTTGGTTTTAAGATTTAGATATTGAAGTATATGCGTTTGGCACGTGTCCTGTCTGCCAGATCGTGCGGCTGGAATTTCAAGTGGAGCTTTTTATTAAAAACATTTTAAAGTGAAACTAAATTGTGAGTTATAGACGAATAAATTTGATTGGCTTAGCCTTAATCGAAATGGGGGCCAAAAACCGAATTGGTTATAATACAAAAATGTATATAAATAATGTAGTAAGTGGTAGAAAGCAGCTAGCCAAGGCCCAGCCTTCTCTTTCCTCCTGCATAAACACTTCATTTCCATATTGAACAATGCAGATTCAAAGGCAAATGGCCAACACAATGGTTTGTTACAACATGACCACACACAAGCCTTTTCGCGCCAAAAAATGCCAAAGCAAACACCCCAGACCGTGTGCCTAATTATGCAACAGTATGGCCTGAAAGATGGCTCTCTCTCCTTTATCCTTTTATAGGCAAATTTAACACAGAGTTGGCCCCAAAAAAAGCAACACAAGAAATTATTAACAACACGGCAAACGAACGCAACACGATAGCGAAATTATGAACGTGATTAATTCATAGATGGTGGCGCTTAGCCATTGTTTTCGGTTTAGTGTACAGGCCAGGGTCCACCTGGAGGCGGACATGGATATGGCGGCACGATCCACGACAATCGCGAGCCATGGCCTGCAGTTGACATCCACGAACGCTGTGGCCAAAAAGCTAAATATGATTATGTGCGCTCGATTTAATCTCAGTCGATTTAGCGCTGGCGAAACTTCCCTCCGCGGGCTCAAATCGTTTATATTTTATTGATTTTTCTTAAGCACTTGAGATATACACTCTTAGAAGTTATTTAAACAAATATGTAAGCTAATAATAACTTAAAATATATTTACACTCCTAATCTTTATCATAAAGGTTTTATAAATCGATGAGTAATTTTTAAACCGTTTTTTGACTTTAAGCCCTTTGAACAATTATAGATTTTATCTATTTTATGAATGTTCATGTTTGGTTAGCTGTTTTCAGACATTTTCTACAAGTGTTTGCAACATTTGCGAATTGCCGGCGCATTAAAAATGAAGAGATTTTCCTTGAAAATAATGCCTGGCTGCGTATGGTTTTGGTCAAAACGACTTTGTGCTCAAAATTGAAAATCCAAAATCGTAAAAAAATTGCACCAACACAGAGCGTGAGTAACTTCAACCCCCCTACAGCCGGCGCCCCCTTAATCACCAATCCCCCACGCACCCACGGAAACACTCAAGCTCCAAGTAGTCGGCGGATTATAGTCGTCAGTTCGGTAGCTTTAGTCTGATAAAGAGTGGATGGAAGTAAAAGAAAAAAAAACGAAAAAGACCAAGAAAAAATTGGCTACTTAATTTGGTAATAACAATAATTACGCCTGACTGACTAAACGCTGACCAGCGGCCAATTTAATATTGAAAAGACAGGAGCCAAGTGGCTGTCTATTGAATTCCCTAACCAATTCTGTGGGTATTACACACTGATAATGGCCACTAGTGGCGGAGAAAGAGCCAACTACAGGGAAAAGCCAATTACCGAAACTTTTATATTTATAATTGGTTGGGATTTTTTGAGGGAATTGGAAGCTAGTTTAAGTTTTACAGTGTAGGGGAAATATTTTGAAATTGCGTTGGGTTATGAAGAGGTTTTTAAGAAAAATAAAGTGTATACAAATTATTAAATAACATTTTAATATATATATACATATTGTTTATATTTTTCTTTACTTTTTGAATCCATATTTCCTAAATTGTATTTATATTATTCCCTCTTCATATCCATAGAGTATCCACCTTGCGTTTCTTCAATTAGTTTTCCATCCATTTTCAATTAAAACGTTTATAGATAATCAATTAATAATTTTTAAGCCACTCTGGCAGTAACAAACTCGGAGCTCTGCCACTGCCACCAGTAACTGGCTACTACTATGTGGCTACTGGCCCGGCTGACTCAGCCGTTCCACGCTCAATTAGGTGCAAAGACATCTCGGCTGGCTGCGAAGTTGAGGATTTTCGCAGTTGATCATATTTATTGGCTTTGCGATTAGGCTCGTCGGACTCGACTCGACTCGAGTCGACTCTTGCCTCTGGCCTAATTGGGGGATCTAAACTTGAATATTGATGACGGTGTCGGATCGGAAAAAAAACACACACAATCCAAAATGCGATGCAATTGTTGCTGCTGGCCGTGTTGTTTGATATTTATCGTATTTAATTTTTGTACGCCGCTCAGTTCGGCTGTCTTGGCTATTTTTGGAGAATTTCACGTACGAGACTCATAATTCGTGCGATAATTTACACAAAATTAGGCAACTGTCTAGCCAGCGAGCCATTTAGAGCTATTGGAGCACTCGATGCGTTTCCCACGCCAATTAGAATTAGCGCGGAGATCGACTCGGGTTCAATTGAGTTGAAGACACACCGAGGTCTCTCGGAGAAAATTTGTAAAATTCAATTTACGCCCTGCAAATGGTCTGAAAATTTAACTTCAGCTTTACCCACTTTGTATCGCCATTTCTTTTATGACAAAGCACGGCCGCGGAGGCTTCTGCTTATAATTTGTGTTAACAAAACTTTTGCCATAAAATGTCCAAAGTGGAACTCATAAAAAGTGAAATTGTCGGTGCGGTCAAATATAATTAATGTGGGGCAAGTTTATTCTTCCTTGCGGTTAATCTTCCCTCCAATCTTGGGCTTTACAAGTTTGACTTCACCCTCCCCGTGAAAGCAATTAAAAGTCTAATTAGAATGTCATTAGGTGGAGGCAAGTGCTAAGCGGTCAGGTAGCCTTCAGGTATCGCAATAAATAATAAATCTCCTATCTTGATTTGATAATTTCGGAATAATTGGTCTATAAAATGGTTACGACTGTAAAAAATCGTCAGAGCTGTGCTTAAATACTCAAATATCATTATTTTTCGGCCACAAATTTAAACAGATCAAATTCCCTTTGGAAAGGTAGAGGTTTCGAAATTTACTCCGATATGACGCACTTTTATTATCCCAACAAGGAGCTGCAGGAAGAGCTATCCTGCATCGCCAAGGCTCTGGTGACCCCCGGCAAGGGTCTCCTGGCGGCAGACGAGTCCAGTGCGGTGATGGGCAGGCGTTTCCAGCTAATCGGTGTGGAGAACACCGAGGAGAATCGTCGCCTATATCGTCAGATGCTCTTCACCACCGATCCCAAGATATCCGAGAGTATTTCAGGGGTGATTTTCTATCACGAAACCCTGCATCAGCGGACAGACGATGGAATTCCGTTTGTGGAGGTCCTGAAGAAGAAGGGCATCCTGACGGGCATCAAAGTGGACAGGCACTTCTCGCCACTCTTTGGCTCAGAGGATGAGTTCACCACCCAGGGACTGGATGATCTGGCTAGTCGATGTTCGCAATGCAAGAAGGAGGGCTGCAGCTTCGCCAAGTGGCGGTGCATCCTGAAGATATCCAAGAATACACCTTCACCGCAGGCCATTATGGAGAACGCCAATGTGATGGCTCGTTATGCGGCCATCTGCCAATCGCAGCGCCTGGTGCCGATCATAAGTCCCGAGATCCTGGCCACCGGCGATCACGATCTGGATCGATGCCAAAAGGTTACTGAGACCGTGCTGGCTGGCGTCTACAAGGCCCTCTGCGATCATCACATCTACTTGGAGGGCACTCTGCTGCAGCCGAGCATGGTGACTCCCGGTCTGCAGAGCAACAAGAATCACCCGCCCGCGGACATTGGTCTGGCCACGGTTTTGGCCATAAGACGCACGGTTCCCCCAGCGGTTCCTGGTGGGTTATACTAACATTACTCTCAACTTGAATTATTTTATGTGTATTGTTGACATTAAGGAGTCCTCTTCTGCTGCGGTGCCCAATCGGAGGAGGAGTCCTCTGTCTCTTTGAGTGCCATTAACAACGTGCCCCTGTGCAAGCCTTGGGCCATGAGTTTTGCCTTCGATCGGGCCTTGCAGACTTCGATCCTACGAACTTGGGGTGGCAAAAAGGAACAGCTACATCATGCCCAAAACGAGCTGCTTAAACGCTGCAAGGTAAGTGTTTTCTACTAATTATAATTGTTAAAAACCTAAACAATTTTTCACCTCCTTCAGGCAAACAGTCTGGCCTGCATTGGCAAATATGTCGTGGGTTCAATAGAAAGCTCAGCGGGCACAGAGAGGCTCGTACAAGAAGCCATCGACTTTTAAATTTCACACATTAGCCATTGAATAAATTTTTAAAATTTTTAGTGTACAATTAAGAATGAATTTGCTTACAAAAATACATATTTAATAATACAGGTTTGTAAATAGAAATCTTTATAGTTTTAAAGGAAAGAGAACTATCAATATTTGTATCAGTTTATTATCAGAATAACCTCAATATTTTTCTTAAGACATTTTATATTTTCCATATTCAATACATATTACATATTTTTAATAAATATAAAATGCAGTGCTTAATATCATGACACAAACCCATTAATATTGATCTCGTTTGGCTTGTGTGAACGAGCTTAAGTTCTCACTTGTGACTTTTCGCCGACACTGTGACCGCAGACCGCGTGTTTGATGCTCACTCGCTCGGCAGTGCCACCAAACAAGTCGAAATATTGTTAACAAGCCTGCAAAGAACAACATGACTCTTGGAGCGAAGTGTCGGCATAATCCATGGAGATTACCAGACGACCGAGCGACACGCAGCTGCGTTCAGAGACTCCACTGCAGCTTAATTAACGCAAGCGCATGCCAAAAACCCAAAACGGCGGCCATGTGCAGCAGCAGCAACAACTGCAGCAGCAACAGCAACAGCAACAGCAACAACTGCAACTGTAGCGGACTGAGAGTTTCGACTTAATCAAGCGGTTCGGAGCCGCTCAAGTCGGTGTCATGTTGTTGGCAAATTAGTCAGACTGCCGTGGAAACAAGCGAGGGAGGAAAGTGCTGGGGGGGGGTGCTCTCAACTCAAGCAATAATTAAAATTAAAGCAGTTACTAAGTTGAAGGCTCGCCTTTTGCAGCGCCATCAACTCCTCCCAGTTGTCACGCGTCGAATTTTAAGTCAGGCAGGTTGCGCTTGAGAAAGTCAGCTTTGTGTACGCGAAAATTTTAATTACTTGCCAAAATAATATTTAAAATTATACAAAATTAGTATTAATATAAATATTAAGGGTAATATAAGGTTAAGTACATTTTTTTATTTTAAGGAAATCATTTTAAAGGCAGTAAAATTTTCTCTTTTGAAATGGAGACGTGGAATAACAAAAATATAATAATACATTCAGTTAAGTTTATAAAATAAACGTAAATTAAAATTGCATAATAATTTTCAGTTATAAATGTTATATTATGTTAATCGATATCTACAAAAGCTTTTCTCTTTACATTAAATGAGTCCCGAGAATAAAATAGTTTTATGTGTTAATATTTTCAGTGACAATCAAAAGCAATGAATAATAAATATATAAAGCTATGAATAATAAATATTGCTAAAAATTTTCAATAAAAATATGAATAAAAACAATAAAATACTCTTGGCATTAAAGCATAAAATCGTTTTAATACCATAAGGAAGGTTATGACTGCAAATCTAATAAAAAAATTTACCTAATAATTATATATAATTTTTTTAATGATTATAATAGTGTAATTTCAAGATAGTTTTAATATCACATTCACTTTTTTCACCTGCAAAATCGAACGCTGCCTCCTCCTGCGGTTAATGCAATCGCCGTGTTTCCCGGGGCCACGAGATGGTATCCCCGTGATCCATGGCCATCGGTGCCCCGCAGTCTCCTTGTCGCCTTTGAATTGAATTCTGCAGTCCCAGTCCCAATCCCAATCCCAATCAGGCCGACGCGTACGACATGTCATGTTAATTGCGCCTCCATGTACATATATGTGCGAGTGTGCGAGTGTATTCGCGGGCGGCTGTGTGTGTAAATTGCCATTATGCTCATGTTTGCTTAATATGTGGCACACAACTCCCACCGAGTTCCGCTCGATGGCTGGCGATAGCCGGAGCTATATAGCCATAGCAACGGCAGCACGCGACGCTTCGCGTCAAGCCAATTAAAGCCAAATTATGGCAGCGCTTTTTTAATCACATGCATCGCACTCCGCACTCCGCCCTCCCCCACCCAATCAGTTACTCAGTTGCTATTCAATCACTCAGTCAGTCATTTGCTCATTTACTCAATCAGCGCTTTCAATTTGCCGCTGAAGATTTATGGGCGTTGTGAGCGCTTAGAGTCGCACTTAAGCAACTTTTAAATTAAAAATGTGTTTTAGCATTTTTGAAATATAATCCTAAACATTTATATATATTTTATATTAAATTAAAGAAAATAAAAATTATAGAAATTAATGATATAGAAGATCAACTGTAGCATAAGTTAGTTACTAATACAAAACTAAATGCTGCGCCGCTATTTGCCGGCGGCACGCGTTTAAAAGAGACTTCCACAGCCGCTTGGAGATCAAAGCCAAAAGGCCGACAAACTTCGAACCCGATTTGAGTTGGTCTTTAACGAGATTTCCACTTGCCAGGCGAGAGACGGCTGTTGGCCATAAACGAGTATGCGACAAGTGGGAGTGGGCCCAAGACATAATTAGAAAAATTCAAGCCAGGCCAACGAGGCTGTGGCTGTGGCTGCGCCTGCGACTGCGACTGGAACTGGTGGGACTGTGGCGCCAAAGTTTAATTCACAACTCCGGACGGCGCGGGCACAAATCACTCAGCTGTCAAACGCTTGTTTTGATTAATTTGGTGTTAATAACGCAGACCGCACAAATCCTGTCCCGTTCGGCAATTAATGTGGCCTGGTCTTCTGGCCACCAAACTTGGTCATGGAGCGTGAAAAACGTTTTGCCTCCAAGCTTTGTGCCAGCTGAGGATGCGACGAAGACCCCGACGACGACGACTTGTGTTAATTGAAAGTTTTGGCCAGGCCATATAAAGTGAGGAAGCCAAAAAGTCTCTCTCGATTTCGATTTGGTTGTCTGCTGATAGCCAAAATGTAAGCAACTCGCCCGGCCATAAATGGCAGCACACGCGTCCGCCGGCAGATGGCTGGCAGGACGAAGGCACCGAAGTGGCCAGAATCCACGAATCGGGACAGTTTCGCTTTTGGTCTCCATGTGTGCCTGTGCCGCCGCCACATCATCAGGCCAAAAGTAAAAGGTGTTTAAAATGCTAATTTGGGCAATGCCAGCAACTGAATCACGTACAGTTGTCTCTATTTCTCACATGGCTTAATGATGCTTGATTTAGGCCTGGCCAAAAGTTCAATTCGACTAGATAAATCTGGCCTAAATACAGTTCTTTAAAGATTTAAAGAGTCAGGAAAGAGGAGAGTTAACATAAATAAAGAGGATAGTGTTCCGCAAAGTTCTTCTTAGGTTCTCAGCTCTTTCTACAGCATAAACTTTCTTAGTTTACACAACACTTTAGTTTCCCTTTCACATAGTTATAAGATATATCTTTTCGATTTCACCACCATCATTACTGAAGTAAACGATCAAATTTAAAGTGACCCACTGGCTCTGCCGTATGCAAATAATTTCGATTTGGTTTTCAGTCTTCCTACTCGAGGCTGTCGCCCCATCAACGCGCTTGTTCAGCTGTCACCATATGCAGCTTCCTGGCCAGGACAGGCCAGCGCTACTGACGCCGTCCGCCCGCCGGGACTGAATCGAAATTTGCTATGCCAAAATGTCAAAATGTCAATTCCAAAACGTTTAGTGAAAAAAAAAATATATAAAAAAGTAAGTAAGGAGGGAAACGCAGCGGCGCTGCCAAATGTTGGCTAAATAAACTTTTTATCTATTGGATGTCTGGCCAGTTGGTCCAAGGAGCATAATACACAGAGCCAAAAAATGTACATAATAATATTTTAAAAACCTTAAATATACCCATTAACTTTTATATAATTTTAGGTCGGATTCATAGACATGTTGTATGAATTTTAAAGCACTAACGAAACTAAGCTAAGTTTTTAAAATTATCCAAAATTCGGTTTATAAATTCTAAACTTGTATATAGTATTATTTGCGGTATATATTTTATATAAAATTTAGTAGAATAAGGGAACAAAATTGTGTTTTAACTTCATTAAAAGTATTATAAAAATGTTAACATGTTCTTTTCTTACTTTCTTCTTATTTTGTTTTCCTTTCAATTTTGTAATAAATCTGTATACCCTCAAGGAAAATTTCTAAATATTTCTAAAATTATTATAATCCCCCCTTTTCTCTCCGTGTAGAAACAGGCGTGTCGCTGGCAGTCGCTCAAGAGTTGGTCAGGTGTAGGCTCGTTTGTCTGTCACTCGTTACATTTGCTTACCTTTCCTTTATGCAAATGCGGGTGAATTTTTGTTTTCGACTTCGCGGTGTGTTGCATAAAGGCTCTGGCTAGGCCAAAGTTTACTTCTTTTTATTAAAAAGTCTCATTTCCTTGGGTTCTGCTGTCAATGCCCCACAAGATGCCTACTTCTCCTCGCAACTTGTGTCGTCTGCTTGACAATCGTACGACATTTCTGACAAATGCTGCCGACACAAAACTCTTTTTTTATATTTTGGCTTCTTTGGCTGACGGACAGGCTCTCAGACATGCATAGGCAAGGCACGTTGACAGCCCGAAAAAAATATATGTATATGTATATGTATAAACAAAAGACAAAACTTGGAAAAAAGTAAATCTTTTTGTTGCAAATTTTATGCAATTTTTCAGTGGGCATTGTTCGTGTGTGTGTGTTCGGTAGTCGAAAGAAACAAAAATAAATTATACACCCAAGCTATTTCGACAAATTCAATGAGAAAAATCTGCAATTTAAATAATCCTAACTGGCATTTATTTTGAAATGAAGCCTATACAGAAAACCATCTTGGACAGCTGTTGCATCATGGAGTTTGGACTCTTGGAAAACAAATAAAACATGGATATGGGCGTGGTTAGTTCTTGGTTTTAGTAAATATATGTAGTTAGTTTAGTTTACTGTATTGTTTACATCTCTGATGTATCTGAGATTATTTTGAATAAATAACTAAGAAAATAGTTAAGTGGTGGAAAAGACAAAAATATACTTTTTCCATGGTAAGAGCAACTCTTTACATTTAGGAATCATTTTTCTTTTTTATAATCCCTCAAATTGATTTAAAAATTTAATTAATTTCAACCCAACTATATTAGCAGTAAGTCCTAGAAGCATTTTATATAATTAGAATTATTGCTAAAAGTAAAAACCTGGAAAAAAGTTTATTTTTCGCACAGCAAGAACTACTCAATAAAACTCAAACAACCT